TAGAACAGGAAAGGAAAAACAGGAAAAAGGAGAAAAGATGAAAGAAAGAGGAGATAAAAGGGAGGAAATGATAAATTGTCTTCAGTCTGCTTCATCACCTGCAAAGAGATGTAAAAAGATCAGCACAACCAACGGATATAGTATAAGAGATACGGTAAAGTGACATCTTGATACTATCGCTGAAGTCTACGTAGTATTATTTAATCTGACATGTATATTGTGGTAGCTGAAGATCAGAATATGGGCTGTCTTTATGGAAGTGTGAAACTTCATTTCAAGAGACAAAAACAGCAAAAGCTGATTACAAAGCTAAGCTGAGTCAAAAGTAATCAGTAACTAGCAGTTTCCTCGAAATGTTTCACTTTTCAAATGTAGTAGAGTGCAAGTCATAAGTGTCCCCCCCCCCCATTAAATTAGTCAAGTAAAGTAAAGATACTCAGAAAAAGGTCTTAAATACAGTAACCAAGTCAATTTACTTTGCTAATTTCTACCACTGTTATTACACAATTTTTAAATACTGCAATTTGAAAGTGTAATATCAAATCCTGTTTCTAGATGGATATTTAAAAATCACTGTTTATATATTTGATTATTGATACCTTTCCGAATCACATATTAAAACAGGTAATTCTTTATTCTAGTGTCATGTATTTTTTCCACCTTGCATTTCCAAATTATTTTTGCAGCTGCATTTTCTTTTTACTTTACTGTCTCCCTTTACCCTTTCCGTGTCCCTTAGCAGACTGGCTGATGCATGACTGTTAAAATAATCATCAGATGTAAGCAGCTCCCTCATTGGTCATTTTATGGACCAAGTGTGGCAGTCTAACTACCGGTAACAAGAAAATTGTGAACTACAAATTATGAATTTTTTCTAACTGTATGATTAAAAGGTAAATTTAAAATGTCTGTTTTTCTTTTTCAGTGACTCTCCTGGTGCTCCATAACTAGTGTTCATGTGGGACACAAGCTTTCAGGTGAGTTCTGGGTCTGGTTCTGTGCCTTTTTCTTGTAGATACGCCAGATACACTGACCACAGCAAAAGACCTTTGTCGATCCAGAGGAACAGCAGCTTGGATTTGTTTTTGAATTGAATCAGTCATACCTGCAGCATCTGACCACAACCATAGACCAGAGGCAGTAACATAGTCTAACTGAGATTTAAACCTTCTGGCTCAGACCTCTTTTCTCCTCAGTAGACTATTAAACCATTCCCATAACTGCAGACACTTCCTCTCACTCTCCACTGACCTCTCGTTCCGGTCTACTCCCACTCATGAACCCTGAAGACCCTGAGATGGTTGTAGTTCCAGCAAACAAACCGAATTTAAATTCTCACCCACAAATTCCCTTCCAGATACGCAGGGCTGACTATATTATAATAAAAACAAACTCCTAAGCCTCCATAATAACATCCCTAAATCTTTGAAGTAGGATTATTTCATTGTTATGCTTCCGGAACATTATTTCTTTGTTTATTTAAAGATCCCCATTAGTATCTATGAGAGCAGACACTGCGCTTTCTAGGGTCCATTTTAGTCACAAAAAAACATCACAATTGATACATACAGCAAACTCACAGTAGAAACAACATTATTAAAAAACACAATCAAAACATAAAAAAAAAAAACTTAAAACATACACTATGTCTTTCCTAGTTAATCAAAGAGAATGTCCTTATTGTAGATTTCTTTAATTGATTTAGTTTAAAAGAGACATGATTTTGTATATATCTCATATTATGTGGCAACATATTTCACAGAGATATGGCCCGGTATATAAAAATGTTTATTAATGCATTAGTTCTTGGAAGTGGCAGAGTAAAAGTCAGATCTTGCATTAAGCCCAAGTCTGCTGTCAGGAGGCTCTAGTTTAGAGAACAGGCCAAAGGGTTTGTGTGAACTCCAACGGGACACCAAAGAACGACAAGCCAATTTACCTTTGACCTCGCTCCATAAGTCTCTAATGCAAGACAGCAACATTGGTTCAAAATGTACATCCCAGAGCCAGTCTTTCTGCCTGATTCTGAGTTATCTGGAGTCTGCGCGAGTCTTTTTAAGTAGCATTTGACAAGAGAATAAAGCAATAGTCCAAGTAACATAAATCTAAAGATCGTAATACTATTTTCCTTGTTTCGATTGACGTAATTGGCATTGCCTCTAATTAATAAGAAATTTCTGCTCATTTTAGGCGTAATATTATTCAATTCAATTCAGCTTGTTTATATAGCGCCAAATCACAACACACGTCATCTCAAGGCACTTTACAGTTCACCAGATCATCCAGTCAAAGTGATTAAAACTTTTCTATCTAAGGAAAACCCATTGACTCATTGACTTGAAGGCAATCCCTCACTCTAAGCATGCTTGTAGCGACAGTGGAGAACAAAAACTTGTTTTTAACAGGAATTAACCTCCAGCAGAACCAGGCTCAGTGTGAGCGGCCATCTGCCGAGGCCGACTGGAGTTCAAGAAAAAAGAAGCAGAAATACAGTAAGTAGCAGAGACACAGAAGGTAGCTGTCAACCAGCTGCACAGCTGTCCAGGAAACACACAGCCAGGAAGACGAGCTGCGAGCCAGCTTTCATGTCAGAGGATAAAGAAAGCACATCTGTCCTTTCACAGAATGATGAAAAAGGGGTCCTTATGTCCTCCAGCAGTCTAACCCTATAGCAGCGTAACTATAGCGATAGCTCAGGAGAACATGAGCCACTCTAACTATAAGCTTTATTAACATATGAAGACCAGGACATTGTTTCATCTAAGGGAAAAACCAACAATTTAATCTACAGATTGGTTGTGTAAAGTTAGATTTAACATTGGTGCATCTATCATGGCATGTTAAGAGCCTAACATTATACACTGTGTTTTAACACATTTAGTATTAACCGGTTCTGCACTACCCACCCATACACCATTTCTAGTTCTTGTTGTAAGATATTATTGACCACATGTTGACCTGATGATGTGACATATAAAGTTATTTCATTTGCATAGACAGTCATACAGGCCTTATGCAACACATATGCCATATCATTCTCATAAATGCTCTAATACGTTAAGTTTGAATCCTTCTCAGTTTCACTGGTTTGAATAATCGTATTTGGTAACTTGAGAATTCAGAAAGCTTTTTAAAAATCCAACATATTTTACTTTAAATTGTGTTTAATGTGTTACACTGTTAAATGTGAACCAGCTTTTATATAATTTGCTGTAACTATTACATGTGGAAACATTCTGTTTATCATTTAGAATGCTTGTTGGGGAGGCCTATCTCTTGTTCAACATCAAAAAGACAGGTGGAGTACCCTGAAATAACCCATGCATGTGGGGAGAGAGAATTAAGCAGACTGAACTTCTGTTTCTAAACCAGTGTTTTAATCCTCAAATGAAAATACAGCCGTGGTCCTGACATATTTTTATGCCTACAGGAATAAATATTGTTTTCTAATTACTTTAAGTCTAAATACTATTGTTAAGTACAGAAAATAAATCACTTTAATTACTCAGTTTCCTCTTCTGATTAGTTGATAAGCTCTCCAGGAAAAATGTCTGCAAATAGGAGAGCTGGCGTTTGGGATGCTGACAACTCAGAACCAAACAACCCAGCTGAAAGCCCTTCATTAGAATCTGGGCTAACCCCTAACCCCCTCAAAGAAAAATCATTGGTCTCCATTATTCACGAAGAAACTTTCTTTTATAAAAATACTCCTCCAGTTCAATCTTGTTATGAATCAAAATGGCCAAAACACACAAATATCAAACAAACTGGACCATAACCAGCATCCTACTAGTCTGAGGGATCTTATTTGACTTTGGGGAGAAAAAAATGGAAAGAAAACTGCAGTTGGTACATGAGTGGTGGTGCAGCAGGTATTCCTCAATCTATAGACGATCCGGTGGTTTAGAAAATGATTGAATTCATGTCTCAAATGTCTGATTATTTTGTCTTAGTTTTGGTAACATTCGTTTCGCAAATGATTCAAAGTTTGAGGCTAAAATATCAGAGTATTTAAATGGTGCAGTTTGCATGTTTGATTGCAAGCACCAACCTATAGGAGCAGTCAGTGAACTAAGGTCAAAGTCTTTGAGAGGGTTTAAATTGATGTCACACAATAAAACACATTTCATTTTTTGTACTTCATTAACCTCACTTCTGATAAATGAGGTTAATTCACATAAAGTCACTGTTAAGAAATGAGACCGGAGCAAAAAGGAAAACATAACAGAGGTGGAACCAGAACCAGGTTAAAAACCAACCACAAAAAACAGAGACGATTATATGGAATAAACCCTAATAGCTGAGTGACACCCAAGACTGAATTTTTAGTATTTATCCATTTAATCAATCAAATAAGAGTACATGAACATATTTATTATATGCTACTGGGGTTTTATTACTGTTATTATGAAAGAACAGGGACAGAGATAGATGGGGTCCCAGAGGTGGCCACTAAACGACATGAGAGACATTCAAGAAACAACAAAATAGTTGTAAATAATATAAAAACTATTGTTGTTGACTTAAGCGCATATTACAATACACTCTTTCGAGTTGATAAGATAATGTTTAATTACATCATAATCCTTGAAGGCAATTTGAAACGACGCTTATTTTTTTCTTTCAAGTCTTTTTTATTAGAACCAGTCACACAACATACAATAATATTAGTATAAGACCTGTGCACCATTAAACACAACTAACCCAATTATGTAGGCACATTGTTCCAACTATCTTCTGTTTAAGAAAAGCTGATTAGGTAATAAATGGGAAATCCTATACGTCATCGTTAGATAACACTAAATGCAAATCAACCTATAAAATAACCTTATTATGTGAAAAGGACCCTTTCATTATATCCTTGATTCCTTTCATTCATAAAAATTTTATTCATTCGCAATAGTACATATAATTTCTAATAGGATTTTATTTTTATTTTTATGAAGTCTCAAAAATATGTGCATAAATATATATTTTGACTTCAGTTTGTTTGCTTTTTAACTTTATTTGGCTTAAAGACAAAAAGACAAATGCTTTTAAAACAATTCTGAAAGCTTTAAGGTGGGTGGACAGAAAAAAACAACACTTCTTTATGAGCCATACAGTCCAGAAATACCAAATTACAGAGTTAGTTCTTTCATGAATGCAAAGACACTTAACATTCAGACACACAGACAGAAACCTTCCTTTCACAGCTGAAACACAGAGGTCTACTTTACAGATGCACATTAATTGTCAATGAGGCCCGTCTAGCTGTATCAAAGCTCGTCATTATGCGCCGCTCATAAAATCCTCTCTGTTTCAGTAGTTCAGTGGTCGGCTGAAGGGACGCTTTGTGCAGCTTTGAGACAAAATGGGCCTTTTTTTCCGGCCTACTTGCTAGGCTCGGCATCAGCCATGGCTCCCTCAGCATTGCTCTTGCTGGATATGGAGTAATGATAGTTCCTCATGGACTCTTCCACCTTCTTGAAGTCGGGGCGTTTCTCGTGCCTGGAAAGAGAGAAGGAAGTGGGAGATCTTGGTTCACCCGACTAAAAGTGGTAAATCAAACCTGGAATGGGACTCGGCAGCATCATGCTTCCATTAATCATTTACTCACTAATTCCTCACTTATTATTACTCTGATAGTAAATAGGTCATATAAATCCATCAGACTTTTCATCAGCATCACCTGTTTACTCAATGTCTTTTAGCATGTTTGGAAAAAATAATTCACCCAAATTTTAAGCTTTATGTATTTTTATTGCATAACACAAACCTATTAAATTAACCTTACATGATGCATATTCATGATTTTAATAATGCCTATTTATTTAGAATATATAATTGACAGGTTTATGTATTTAGAGTTAATAAAATATGAAATCAAATACTAATAAGTATAAAAATTAAAACCAATGACTGTATTTATTTCAAATACAGGAAGTTTATTGTATAAATTGCATAATAATCAGGGATTGCTTTAAACAATTAAAACATTTAACTTTATGTATTTAAATTTTAATAGACTCTGTATTGATTTTGAGTAATTTTACTTTATTAAAACTGAATACATAATCTTGATGAATATGCATCTTAAATAAAATAGATTTATTACACAAATAAACATGCATAATTGATGATTTATTTAATAGGTTTGTGCTAAATGTATCAAAAAGTTAAATGAGAATTTTTTATGTAATAAAGTTACATAAATCTATAATTTTGGGTGAAATATTCTTGTGAGTGAGCCTCAGTTTAACTAAAGTTCATTTTGTAGTTATAGTAGTTGTTGCTCACTAATTGGTTTGTTCTTTCTCTGTTCTTCAGCACAGATGAATAAACTTGTCTCCAGAAGCAACAACACTGTAATTAAATAAAAACTATGCAAACCTTCATTTCATGCTTGTTTTTATAGGCTCTTTGAAAAGGTGCAGATATGCCTCAAACTGTGTTTCTTTATGATTGTCTCATGGTTCTTTTGAAAAAATATTTCCACCTATTGACTGTTTCCAACCAATCTGACATTCTAAATTCCTGCCTAGTGTATTCTCTTAAGCTTTTATGTTATTGACTTTCACATGGAAGTGCATCCCTGCTAATAGGGGAACTGCTCCCCCAGTTTCTAATCATTTGCAGCTGCTTACAGGATGCATACATATTTAGCTCCAACCAGCTTCTCAGACACTCTAACCAACTTCACTGTCCCTGCTGAGGGGAAAACCTTCCCGCAGCATAATGCTGTCGCCACTGTGTTGAACAGAGGTGATGGTGTGTGGCTTGTAGAAAACTCTGACTTTTTTAAACCTCGGATGCTGGTTGTGTGGGTTGTCATTTCAGCAGGTTCTCGAAGAACCAGCTTTATTGATCTGACCGGTAAGTTTCTGCCTGTGGCCTTTGTTAGAGTGAAGGCCACGAGCAGAAACGTGTCGGCCAGCTAATCACCCTGCCAGAAACATTTGGATCTCGGTCGGCTTATTCTTCCAGAGTTAACCTGAACTTCTTTGTTGCATCTGTCCTGTAATGCAATACAGGTTTTCGGTTTTTCATTTTGAGTGATTATTTAAACAGTGCTCAGTGAGCTGGTTATGGGCTAACCGCTGGTTAAATGTCTCCACAGCTTTAATTTTGACCTGTCTGCTGCCCTCCTTGGTCTTCATGATGCTGTTTATTATTATTATTCTCAAGCCTACTGCACCCCCCCCACCCGCCATCCCGTCCCTGCACATTTTCTCTATACTCACTACAAATAAAGGCCATAAGAAACCAAAAACAAAACAAGAGGAGCTAAAAAAAATGAACTGCAAATTATTTAGATTTTTATTTAATAAAAACCTGCAGAAAACATTTTCCTTCTAAATTCACTTTACTTCAAAATAAAATACTACTTTCTCCTTATTTATCACATAAACTAGTTGTCAATTTAAAATGAAATGAAAGAGGAATGGACAGGAATTGTTCTGATCTCAGAATCTGACCAACCATTTGAATGTTTCTACCCTACCTGTGTTCGTTTTGTTTTTCCATAAACCAACCAACTAGATTTTCTCCGTTTTGTTGCAGCTGTGACATCATGTCATTATCACTATGTGTAAAGGTAATGAGTTAGTTTAGAAAAAGTAAAGTGCTCACTGTAAAGGAGTAATAAATACTCAAATACAGATACAAAAAGCTACAATAGTAAATGAATTATTTTTTTTATATTGGTAATTAAACACCTCTGATCTACAGCATCTTTGTCATGAATCATTTCAGCTGTTTGAGATTTGGGTTCTTACTCAGCTGTCCAGCACTCCAGCATCACGGCGTACATCCTCTCCGGACAAGCTGGTGGACGCTCCATACGGCCCCCACCGTTGATGAAGACCGTCACCTCCTGGCCTTTCATTTTCTGGACAAAGATCAGAAAAAAAACAGCAGTTGTAGCACAAACTTTGGGATCAGGATTCTTCAAACCCTGCAGAAAACCTTTCACCCAATCAGATCTTTCTTTGCTCTGCAGAAACTCAGGCGTACCTTGTAGGGTTTCCCTCCGTAGGAGAAGGCCTCCCACATGGTGACGCCGTAACTCCAAACGTCACTTTTGCTGGAGAATTTATGGAAGTTTATACATTCTGGAGCATACCACTTCAGAGGCCATTTGCCTGCAGTACGAGCCTGGAAACACAGGTGTTTGAGAGTAAACAGTGACTCAACCTCTGGTAATTCAATCCTTAGAACATTCACAAGTCTTACAGCTATCTGAAAACTGTTAACTAACTAAAAACGTCTCATTTAGAATATTTCCTATTAAAATTTGATACAGATTATATGTGGAGAAGCAGCTCTTGTTCTGTTATCCTGCTGTATGCAAAAGGTTTAAAATAAATCTGGCTTCATACTTTGTAGTAGTTGTCATCCGCTCCCAGCGCCTTGGAGAGCCCAAAGTCACTGATTTTGGCAAACTGCTGGTTGACCAGCAGGACGTTACGAGCTGCCAGATCTCTGTGCACAAAGTTCTTCTCTTCCAAATACTTCATCCCCATGGAAACCTGATGCATCAAATTCACAATGTTCTCCACAGAGACAGAATCCCTGAAAAGGACAAAAACAGCTGATCTGAGTGTCAGTGATCATCTCCACGTCTCCAACTCAGGTTTTATGTTGTTGTTTCAGGAAGGGGTTGGCTGTGATCTGTTTTATTTCTCTATTTCTCTTGATAATGTTGCAACACAATGATTTATATTTGCTGTTCCTATCATCTCCACTAGATGTCCTCAGTTGCCTTATTGTCTTCCTTGTTCTCTTCATGTTTCTATTCTGAATCTATTCATTGCGGCCATTCCTCTAAGTATATTTCCTTCTTGTTAAATTTCAGATCTTTTGCTCACTTATCAGCATAACTGTTTCTCTCTGTTTTCTTTACTTTAATCTTAAACTCCTTCATATCATCATTTAGAGACTTTTCCTGACACAAGTTCCAAAATAAAGTTAAAAAACAATCCTCTGGACTTCATTTTTAATTGAAAAAGCTTCCTGGATGGGGAGCGAAACGTCTTCAAACTTAGAAACAAAGTCCAGTGGATTGTTTTTCACTTTTTTTGGAATTACTATGACCTGGATGACTGAGAATCTTCAGCAACACCTGACATAAATTATTTTTTCTTGTTTAAAAAACGTTTGAAAAATTTCCACCAACAGTCAGGCCCAGACCTGTATGCAGTTTATTTACAGGGAAAGTGTTTTGTACCATAATTCATTGTTTTTGGTTCCAACTCAAACAGCTATTAGCAAAAATAACCTGTAGTCTTAGAACAACAAACAAATGAAATTGCTTTGATAAATATAAAGGATTAATTAAAAGAGCAATAAGCATTGATGCCACCCAGTTTTTCCAGTCAGAACAACACATAAAGAAACAGCCCTCTAAACCTTTAAGAGAGATGAGTGCAGCTAAATGCAACCCTGGGAACTCTCCTGTGATTGGCTCAGGAACCAGGAACCAGGAAGTAAACTTGAAGTAAACTTGAGCTCCACACATCGCCATACTTCTATGTAATTCTAAGTTTTAAAGAAGAAAACGTGACTAAGAGGTTCCTGATGGAGAGGACAGATTGTTTATAAAGAGTTTAATTAATTCCATCCTGGGCGACAAATGAGATGATTTCAGTTCATTTTGCAGAGCATTTCTTTCTTATGGCTCCTTTAAATTGTGCAAGAACAGACATTATCCAACAATTAAACATCAATCATGATATAAGAAAAATACCTGAGACAGGTTTTAGTATAATTAGCTCTAAAAACTATAGAAACATATATACCTATACATAAAAGCTTGCAGTCATCGATAACATCACTGTAAGAGACCTTACTGCCAGCTTTGTTGTTAATACTAATCCCACTCCATCATTCTTCCACCTTGGATAATCTCAGGTAGTTCTTTATTAATTTGAATTTGGAAAATATCCGCTCTGCAGATGCAGCACTCACAGGGAGAGTGCAGGCTGTCCTCAGAGACTCTGACATCATTATTAAGGAGGCAAGGGAGCAAATGATGTCACCTGTGCTTTAGAAGGCCAGTGCAATTTTATCACAATCAGACTTTTCTTCAAAGATAAGGTTGTCTCTGAGAGGTTTACGCTGGTCCTTTTTGGGTCTGTGTGTTCACCTGGCCCAAAGACCAGCATTTCTTTTGTTTGTTTTTTTACTACACTATATATATCTAAATCAGTTATCATGCAAAAAAATTGCTAAACAACAAGTAATTGTTCTTGTGTGCCCTGGGGCCCTAAGCAATTGTCAGCCATGTTGGCAGTGGCCTTCCTGACCCACTGAGGGCGCTATTTGAAAGGATTCTGACAGGAAATGGGATAAGAAGGAGAAAATATAGAGACTGGATTCGAAACCTTTGAGGATTATTTTGTTCCCTTATTGTTCTGAGCAAAGAACAAGTTTTGTAAATTTGAACAAAAAAAATATTGACTTTTGTAAGTTTGAATGAAATTAACAAATAAAACTTTGAAAAACTTCTTGAAACCTTAAAAGGTTTAGAGAGTAACTTTGCTGTTTCCTCAGGTAATTTTTTTTCCTTATATTTTTATGTTTTGATTTTCTTTACATCTAGAGGCGGGCAAACATTTGGCGTGAGGAGTGAATACACCGTTTTATTGGTCAACATGGACATTAGTGACAACATTTTTATTCGTCAGGAGTCGGTGTTTGTACTGAAGTGAAGATAATGTGATCTATAAAACTCAGTCTAAACTCAAACAACATAAAAAAAAAAAATATATATATATATTGAAAATATAAAATCTGTAAAAATAAAATAAAAAAATTAAATATATTAAAAAAATCCTTTGAAAAAATGAAAATCTGAGAGAGTTACTCTCTCCCCCAGTTTCATTTCATGATAAATTTTTAAAATTTTCATTTATAATAAATGTTTTTTGCTTTTAACAAACAATAATGGAACAAAAATCACCCCATATGACGGCCATGTTGAGGACTAACCCCTCTGTATCAGTGTCTACACCATCTAGTTGGGAAACCAGAGGATGAACCAGAGCTGTGGGGTCCAAAAGTCTCCTCCTGATATTTTGGCTAATTTCTTTTTATTTTCCATGATGACAGACAAAGAAACATAATGTTTGAGGCTGTGGTCTGAAAATACAACCACAATGCAGTGATCAAAGGCTAGAAGACCAGACCATTGTAATCTGTGACTGGCGAACTTTCAGAATTTTCAAATACAAATCAGTCTCAGTTTAAAGTATTCTCACTCGAATAAATCCCACCATGTTTTGCTTTTTAACAACTGTAAATGTATCTATTTATCCCGAGAGACAAATATCATATGTAGGTCTTCTTTTAATGTTCCAATTTTATTACATTGTATGTAATTAAATTAGAACATTTTTACACAAGCAGTTTTATTTCTCACAGTCACATTTTTATGTTAAATGTAAACTTCAGGGATAAAGATTTTAAATATTTATTATTTAAAAATTAAGAAAAAAATCATACAACTTAGTTTTTAAAGTTCTTCTCTTTGGAAACTGTGGAGATCTTCCTCTGCTGGATTGCAGGTGTTTTGCGTGATGTAAGCTGGTGGAAAGGACTGACACCAGCAAGCGCTTGATGTAATTTATTCTGGTGCTTCATTCAAGAGCAGAGAGAATTTGCTGTATGTAAAAAAAAATAGCTTTTTTCCTATTTGAGATGGCTGCCTGCACCTAAGCTCCCATCACTTCTGTTGCTTTTGCTTTTAATTCCCACTCAGTGTGCTTGTGCTGAAAATCGTGCCCCAAAAACCGGCCTCAAAATAATCTTTATTTTAAAATGGCCTGTATTTATATAGCACTTTTTCGAGGAAGGAGACTTGAGCAAAGCTCTTTACACTACATTAAGTCATTCACTCACACACTGATGGTGGCAAACTACATTGTAGCCACAGCTGCCCTGGGGCTCACTGACAGAAGGGAGGCTGCCGTATACTGGCAATGACGGTGAAGTGTCTTGCCCAAGGACCTAACGACACTGAAAGCCAGAGCCGGAGCTTGAACCGACAACCCTTTGATTTCACGGCTCCTACATTCTACACCACTGTCTTTAGAGACTCATTAGTATGACACAAAGATTGGGATGAAACATTTGGGCCCCAATCCTGTTGTACTCACTTCTTTGTGGAGAGGAACTTGTTGAGGGGACCGGCAGCGGCCATCTCCATAACGAGCATCAGGTTCTCGGCGTTGCACAGGCCCAGCATCCGGACAATGAATGGGTTGTCCAGTTGGTGCATGATCTCCGCTTCCCTCATCATCTCTTCCTTCACCAGCTTCTCATTTTCACTCTTTAGTACCTTAATGGCCACATCTACCTGGCCTCTGCAGTGGCAGGGTTAAAAACGGTTAACTCCTAACAAATGATGTAAATAAATCATTTGAATAATGAACTTAATCCTCACGATTCCGTCTTGAGGACTCCCTTCTTGACGCAGCCAAAGTTTCCAGAGCCGAGCTCCACCTCGTCTATGAGCAGCTGTTCCCTCTTGATGTTGAATCTCTTGATTTCATTCGGGTTGTGATATGGGTTAAATCCATCACAATCCATGGGAAGAGGGACCCGATTAACAGGCGCTGCAGCGGCTGTGGGAGGGAAAAGCAGTAGCAGTGTGTTTATAGAGGGTGCTTATAGTTGCTTTTATTTTTACATCACTTTAAACCAAATCTTAAAGCACCATTTTGCAGATTTGTTGTCAATCTTAAAGAGAATATTACACTGTATAAAAAATAGCGTCTACAAATCCTTTCAGCATCACCTTCAAGTTTTAAAGCTGGCTTCTTTTGAGATATAATACTTGTTTTAATGAGTCAATATTTAGCTCTTGAATATTATATAACTCTGGAGGGTTGGATCCATTGTTGAATGAGTGACTTGACCCAGAGACTAAAAAAACTTAAAAAAACACATGAGCAAAATAAGATAAACGTTGTTGCTGCAAACACAACGGATCTGATCAGACATATTTCTGGTTGTCTAATGTAGGATTTAATCTAAAGGGGTGAATGTGGACCTGAATTTATATCTATTTATTTCTTAATATTTTGGTCTGCTATCAGGTTCCAAAACAAAGAGTGAGGCTGGTTAACTTTGTGACATTGCTGTTCTGCCAGCTGCTTTCAGGAGAGCTTTAAATGTTAACGTCTAGCTGCCCTAGTGGCTAAAAATTATATAAAATTGTTATAACTATAATCAAGTTATGAAAACAATCAGGAGCATGCAGGCTATGTTCCACACTTCCTCTGATTTTTAGATAATCTAGATTTTTTCTTAAAATAAGTGCATTTGTTCTTGAATTGAGGAGGTAAAAGAGACATTTTGCCAATGGAACAAGACAATTTACACTTAAAATAAGAAAACACAACTGCATTGTCTTATTTCAAGTGCATATTCTCTAATTATCTTATTTTAAGAGTAAAAATACTAATTTCATTGGCAAACTGTCTCATTTACCTACTTAGAATAAGGATAAATACACTTGATTTAAGAAGTTTTCACTTATTTCTAGTTTGTTTTTGCAGTGTGCTGGTCACTCTCTAACATGATCTGGTTGATCTGGGACCAGCATGCTGCTCCTTACTGAAATCTCTGGGATCTGGCTCAAACATTCATCTCATAAACTTTTACCTTTTATAGTGTAAAGTGACATTAACTCTTCTTGCAGTTTGATAAATTCAGACAATTCAATAATGTTTGTAGGCCTCTAATACCAAAGTAGGGGAAACACTCTCTAATATAATGCCTGAGTCTGCATAATGCTCATCCACATGTTTCTAATTTGAGGTGTTTGTTGATCCATTCAAGCAGCAGTGAGCTTTCCATTTCCATTTCTATAAAAGTTTCCTGGTTCGGTTCCATTTGAAAGCATTTTAGATCCTCTTCAGTGAGGCATCCAAGCATTTCCTATTTTTTAAAGTAAATAGTTTTTTAAAAGAACATTGTTGTTTTAAAAATATCTAAAACCTTTGCTGTTTTTTTCTTTATAACATGATAAAATCTCTTCACTGACTTAACTCCCAGCTGCCGTTACTTAAAATGCTCCCTTTCAAATAAGGATTTAGTGAAACTGCATCATCAGCATAGATCAAGTTTGTTGGATTTCTATTACCTGTATGAACATGATTTGTAATCTAAAGTCAGCACATGTGGTATTTTACATGCTTTTCATCCACTGACTCCCTGATCAATCTGCTCTGCTCTAAATTAATGTGGAGTTGATGCAGAAAAAAATCAAGAGCTGCATATTTTAGAGAAGCAG